TGAATTGTTTTTGTAAACATGAATCCAAAAATGTGATGATCTCTTCATCACTGTTCATCGTCATGGAGGTGAAAATATAAACAGAGGATTTTAAAATAGATATCACAGTTAGGGTGCTATAAAATGTAGACAGATGATGTGTGGGAATGGGGTGGAAGTAGTGAACAAAACAGCAGGGTGGCTATATGAGACTACAATACAATAACAATAACATCAGAGAGCAGAGAGAGAGAGAGAGAGAGAGAGAGGGTGGGGAAGTGTGTGTAGTGAAAGAGATTCAGACTGAGACCTGAGTTAATAAATTAGCTCATAGAGATTGGCCTTTCTTTGTTGAAAGCATGTTTCGTTTCTCTCTCTAGGGTTGGGTTACGGATGTGTTTCAGTATCAACACACCCTGCAGGTGTTTATGAAACAATACAGAGCAGCGCTATATCATCTTGCTATTTTGGCCTCAGGGGGTCAAAAGGTGAAAGGAACAGATAGCTCAGTAGATTTCAAGCCTTTTTTTCTTTGACACCAAACATTTTCAATTTTGTTTAAATAAGGACAACAACATTTTTGTGTTTCAGATCAAAGAGACTTGAAAACATCAAGGATTTCCTGTAAAAATGTTGAATTTAACCAACAAAACCACGTCATCCGGTCATATACTAGCTGTGCATAAAGTTGAGGAATTAATCCACTCATCAAACTATTTTAACCCCATGAGCAAAGGGGTGAAGTTACTTTTCCTTACGGAAAAATGACATACATTTCACATTTGATTATATAAATAATACAGTCCCCTCTGAAAGCAGCAAGGTCATTCTTTTGTTTTTGATATACACTGAAGATATTTGAATTTGAGCTCAAAAGAGACGACAGATCAGAATTACAGCTTTCATTTCCTGATATTTACATGTAAATGTGTTATAGTTTTTCTTGATTGCTTAAACACATTTCTTGAAACTATGCCTCGTATTCTCAAAACAGTAAACACAAATCCATAACGTCTCACCCAATTCCCCAAACCTCCTATTTTCAGGTCAAAATGAAGCTCTACACCCAAAACCTTTCGCTCTTGCTGAAAAACCAAACTTTGCCCTCAGACATCACACACAAGCCCTCAAAAACACACACACCACAACACAGTCTTACACACTGGTGCAATAAATTCAAAACAATATTTCCAAAACTGGTATGTTGCTTGTGATTCCCCCCCTCAAAAACCTTTTCACATGATGAACACAAAAGACACAACCAATGTATACATTGGCACATTTTTATTCATTCATGTAATACACAGTACAACACACTCACACAAAAAAAATAATAAATAAATAAATAAAATTTATTCCGCCTCAGCATCCCATGTTTGGTCTGGGTCAGGCCAGAGAATCTTGTCCACATCACAGGCTGTATTGGCCCTAGCCAGGCAGCGGGGGTAAAATCCTCTTGCATGCCTTATCCACCCCTGGCACGCATCTACTGATATGTCTATATCTCTATGTCTATATCTCTATCGGGTTTAGAAAGGGAGAGTATGCAGGCAGAAAGATGTTTGAAAACCTCGGGTTATTGGTAAACCAGTCACGAACCAGAGTAACGCGATGGGAGCTGACGTTATCCCAAACAACAACGTAGTGAGGCTGCTCTGGCTGTGCTGGTTCCCTGTGGTCCAGCTGGAACATATGCTCTCTTAGACCGTCAAGGAAAGCAAGGAGGAGCATAGTGTTATAGGGTCCTAGAATGGCATGGCGGTGGAGTACCCCTCGTTGGCTGATGGCTGCGCACATAGTGACATTCCCTCCGCGCTGACCAGGGACATTCACAATAGCCCGATGGCCAATTATGTTCCTCCCCCTTCTCCTTCTTTTGGTCAGGTTGAAATCAGCCTCATCCACAAAGATAATTTCATGGGGAACAGGCCGGCCTTCAGTCTCAAAGATTCTCTGCAAACCACATGAAACACAGTAGAGTAAATCACTACCCTGAAGCACAGTTCAAGAGGGCACAAATGGCAGCATAAACTGCTATACTGTGATGGTACACAATACTTCCTACAATATCAAAACTCATGCCTGAACACATCTTTCACTCTGTCAGAGTTTCGTTTGAAAGGGACGCAGTACGCCTGTTTCACCCGGAACCGGTGCTTTCGGAGGATGTGATCAATTGTGGAGAGGCTGATAAAGTGAAGTGAAGTGAAGTAACTGTCACACATCCTTTTTACAGGAAAAAATGGAAACATACTGAAACTCTATCTGTATACGAGGCAATTTGATGCATTTCTTTATTACAGTAGCATAGTGCAACAGTGTATGTGTTGTCACAGCACAGAGTACAGCACTCAAAAGTTACTGTACAGAGCAGTCTTACTGTAAGTACACCTACCTGTTTTCCTCCCTGAAGGTTCTGATGATGGAGGCGACGGTGAAGCGACCCAAATTTGGCTGTACTCGTTGCCCAGCCTCCCTCATAGTCATACCATGGACAAGGACATGGTCAACTAAAGTGGCTCGAATTTCATCCGAGACTGCTTGTCTCCTTGCCCTCGCCCTTCCCCTTCCTTGTTCTCGTCCTCCTTCTCCACCTCCTCCTCTCCCTCCTCGACCTATTCCTTCATTTCTCTGTGGATCCATTGTTCCAAAACTCAATGAACTGATTCGGGCCCTTTTATCTATCTATTGAAGGATCTGATTGATGTGTGTTCAATTTTGACTCTTAGTGTTTTCACCTGGTGAATTGTGTGCTAATTGTGCTCAAGCTGTGCTGACTTGAGTGAACAGTATTGCTACTAGTAATGCTAGTGCTTTCAAAATGACCACATGGTGTACGCAATAAGAAATTAAGGGATTTGTGTGTAGAGTTCTGCAGTGACAGCTCAACAAATCTGACTCATGTGTCAAAACAGGGGAGTAGTGTTTAGAGTTTAGGGAATTGGGTGTGCTTTTTGATAAATGGCGTTATGGTTTTGAAATTTTAGTTCAAAAGCCTGGTTATAGTGTTTTAGCAATCGAGAAAGACTGTAAACAACTTAGAACATGGCACCTTTTGTTTGAACCCACCCATTTTTCAAGTGATCAAAAATATTGGAACAGATGTTTCTTAACTTGAATATTTAAACAATTAATAGCTCTGAATGTCTACTCTTGGTTTGAGCCCCGGGTTTCGCCTGTGAAGACTGCATTTTTTGTGAAAAATGATAAACCAACATGAAGACCAGAGAGCTGTCTATGGGAGAAAAGCAAGCCATTTTGAAGCTGAGAAAAGAGGGGAAATTGATCAGAGCCATTGCACAAGCATTGAGCATAGCCAATACAACAATTTGGAATGTTCTGAAAAAGAAAGAAACCACTGGTGTACTAAAAACCAGACATGAAACAGGTAGACCAAGGAAAACAACACCAGTTGATGATAGAAACATTGTGAGAGCTGTGAAGAAAAACCCAAAAAGTTGCATCAGTCAGTGGCATCACCAACAACCTCCACAGGGCAGGAGTGAAGGTTTCACAATCCACCACTTGAAGAAGACTTTGAGAGGAGAAATATAGAGGCCATACCGCAAGATGCAAACCATTCATCAGCAGTAAGAATCAGAAAACCAAACTGGAATTCACAAAGAAGTACAGAGATGAGTGACAAAAGTTCTGAAACCAAAATTAACCTCTACCAAAGTGATGGAAAGGCCAAAATGTGGAGAAAGAAAGGATCTTCTCATGATCCAAAACATACGAGCTCGTGGGTCAAGCATGGTGGAGGTAGTGTTATGGCTTGGGCTTGCATGGCTGCTTCTGGAATGAGCTCACTAATCTTTATTGATGATGTAACTCATGATGGTGGCAGCAGAATGAATTCAGAAATCTTCAGAAACATTCTGTCTGCCAATGCAGACTCGTACGTGTACGTGTACATGTTGTATCTTGCTACTGACCATGCTGCTGTAACACAAGAATTTCCCTCATGGGATCAATAAAGTATATCTATCTATCTATCTATCTATCTATCTAATTTACAGAGAAATTAATCCAATCTAATTGGGAGAAACTTCATCATGCAGCAAGACAATGAGCCAAAACACACTGGCAACACAACAAATGACTTTGTTTGGACATCAGGGGGAAAAGTGGAAGGTTTTAGACTGGCCAAGTCAATCACCAGACCTTAACCCAACTGAGCAGCATTTCACCTCCTGAAGAGGAGACTGAAGGGAGAAACCCCCCAAAACAAACTGAAAGAAGCTGCATTACAAGCCTGGAAAAGCATCACAAAAGAAGAATGAAAAGGAAGAAAGAAAAAGTTGCTGGCTTGATGCAGTTATTGCAAGCAAAGGATATGCAGCCAAATATTAAGTGTAATTTACTTTCATTTACTTCAAGACTATCTGTTTCAATACTCACCTTAAAATTGGTCTGCCACCAAAGGTGCACATCTAGATGTAAAAATCAGGAAATGAAAGCTGAAATTCTGATCTATTATCTCATATTCATCATTTGATCTCAACCCCAAATGTCTTCATTGTGTAGTGAAAACAACAGAATTGGCCTTGCCGTACTAATACTTCCGGAAGGTATGTGATCATGTGAAAAACAAGAGGAGGTGCATTTCAGGTGCATGGACTCAGTGTGTGATTATGTGAAAAACAATTACTCACATGTGAAAATCACATCTGAAAAATAAAATCACGTGCCTTACATGTGTAAAAATTAGCATGTAAAAATGAATGTATCATATAATGTAAATATCAGAAGATCAGAAAATAAACAAATAATGTAAAACATAATCACACAGGTAAATAAGAAATTAATGTTAAAAAAGCATGTGAAATAAATGAATCGTAAAAATCACATGACATAAATCACACGACATGAATCCCATGTCAAAATAAATGATTCCTTTAAAAATCACGTGTGAAAATAAGAAAATCTTGTTTAAAAATTTCAAGTGAAGTAAATAAATCATGAAAAAAATCATGAAAAAATAAACAAATCATGTGAAAATAAATGAGGTTAGGGGTTGATTCGCTGGCCAGGAATCGAAGCCAGACCACGGCAGTGAGAACGCTGTGGCCTAACCACTAGCCCTCCAGTTACCTAATCATGTGTAAAAATAATACATATAGACATAACGGAATTGTGTAAAAATCATGTATGAATATAAATGAATCATGTAAAAATTGTTTGTAAGTGAATCACTTTTAGTAGATTAGTAAATGCACTTTTACATGAGTAAATGTTTTGGTACGTTTACCACGTTTGCCTATGACAGATTAAAGCTGATACGGCTGTGCGGTCAGGACGTGTGAATACACTCAGGACAAGATGTTAGCATGACATTATTTCTAGATGATAAGTGGCGTTTAAAAATAGACACTACTAAAAGTGTTAAAAATAATGCTGCCATTGCCAAAAACAGGAAGAGTTTTTTACTATTATTATCATTTTGTTTTGTAATTATTCCACTCCTTTTGTCCTTTTGTATCATGGTAACATGTTAGCATTGCTAACTGTTTGCTAACTAGCTTTGCCACCTGTTCCTGATAGTATGCAAATAAAGAACAAAATTTTGCTATTCATTATGATGTAACATTTATGCTCTGCATATTTGCAAGGTGGATTTTTTTAAAAATCAAACCACACTCTAAATTAAAACTGAAAATTTGAAATTAGAAAGAAAACAAAAGAAATGTCTAAATGATAGAAAAATAGCTACTAGATAGAGGAGATGAAGAAGCTTGTTATTGTTGGAGCTTGTTAGTGTTCAATTTATGTAATGTTAGCTAACATTAGCGTATAGCTTTGTTCATATTAGGAGCACTAGCATACTATACAGTATATTTACCTAACCTTTGACAAAAAAAAAAAAAAAAAAGAAACTGAGTCACAATTTATCATAAACTGAAATGTTTACTGAAATTGAAGTTCTACACTTTTGGGTTTGGTTAGAGAAAGTTCCCAAAATTCCAACCTGGAATTCCCACTCAGTGGTTGACTGTAATGGTTATTTTTCCCAATCAGAGACAACTGAAGTTGATAATTATGTGAAGTGAAGTGACGTGACGTGTAGCCAAGTATGGTGACCCATACTCGGAATTTGTGCTCTGCATTTAACCCATCCAAGTGCACACGCAGTAGTGAACGAACACACACACACACACACACACACACACACACACACACACACACACACACACACACACACACACACACACACACACACACGGAGCAGTGGGCAGCCTTTTTTGCTGCAGCGCCCAGGGAGCAGTTGGGGGTTCGGTGCCTTGCTCAAGGGTCTCACCTCAGTCGTGGTATTGAGGGTGGGAGAGAGTCATTCACTCCCCCCACCTACAATCCCTGCTGGACCTGAGACTCGAACCCACGACCTTCAGGTTCACCTTCGGGTTACAAGTCCGAGACTCTAACCATTAGGCCACAACTGTCCCCGTTTACTTCAATTACTTTAATTATGTTTACTTCAGTGTTGCTAATTTGGCTAATGACCCTCCTGTCAAACACGAGCATGCAGGACACACCCTTTACTGCAAGGAGGACCCGCCCACATATCATTGTGCATACATTTCTAATTAGATTAATGATGTAATCTCAGGATCTGTAAACGTGGACTATTTCATAATTCGTGTGTGTGTGTGTGTGTGTGTGTGTGTGCTGACGTCTCTCTCTATATCACCATGCCCTTTAAATCAATAAACCTTTCTGCCACTATTGTTTAGAGATCTTGAATAAAGAGTGAAGTTCAAACACACACCCACTTTCAGTTCAATGAGCACCACACAAATCCGGGAATATTAACCACAGTGCAACAGTCACGGACTCACAGAGTCACTGTGGCGTTAGAGTGAAACACAGTGGACCACGTTTGAGCATGAAATGCTGTAGCATGTCGCTAATTTCCTGCAAATGAGGTAGCCGACTTCCTGCAAGATGCATGCAACATCTGCAGAGTGTGTGGGGAGGGAGAGAGAGAGAGAGAGAGAGAGAGAGAGAGAGAGAGAGAGAGAAGAAGGTCCTCATAAACCAACGTGTAGAGAGATGTATAAGTAAGAAATAAAACACTCAGTGTTGTGCTGTTATAGAAAAATAATCAAAGACAGGGTGGTGTGATGAAGCAGAGTTCCTGTTACCACCATGAAGTTGATTAATTTCCTACAACAGCAGGTCCTGAAGTGTTTTATTCCTCTTAAACAACACAACAATTTGCCAATGATTACAATTTATTTATTAATAAACAACAGGTAATACTTTTTATCCATTTATAGTTACTTTTAATGTTGTGGAATGTCTGTGAGACAAGTTAGTTCCTGTTGTCACTTACGTTATAGCAGCTATAAACAGTCATCCCCTCACCAGCCTTCTTTTTTCTCTCTCTTGAAGTGAACAAGACAAAAAAAATTCAGTGTGTTACTGAGAAACCCACAAAGCGTAAACTCCTCAGTCCTGAAGATGTCGGAAAATGTAACACAGCGCCGTTACACAGCGCCAACGCTGGAGACTCCTTCCATAAATATCTCCTTACACATCAACGTCCGTCATACACCTCCGTGTGAGTGAGCTGTTACTATAGAAACGATAACGTATTCGAATGAGCGCATTAATCCTAAATAAACCTGTGATTTGCAGCTGCACTACTGTCAGAGCTGCTGTTCTAGAAAATTAATCAACACCTTCTGACCAATCAGAGTCCAGAATTCTACAGCGCTGTGGTGTCAGTAGAGACAAAGACAGATGGATTGAAATAATGCAATGCATTTGCTGTGAGAGTGATAACTTCCTCCAGACAAGTACGGAAGGATACCGTGTGAATGTGTGAATATTTGTACACCTGTGGATTTTTTTAAAGAAAGTCACAAATGATGTCATGACCACACAGTTACACAGAACTCATCCCCTGCCTTATTTATTTATTTATTTATTTATTTAAGCTTTGAAACAGTTGTCATGAGCTCATGATTCATATCATAGCCGTTTGGACTCTTTCTACACTTTTATACTTTTTAATTGAAGAAGCTTGTTATTGTTGGAGCTTGTTAGTGTTCAATTTATACTTTTTAATTGATTAATTAAAAAGTCTCTTTTACTCTTTTACAAATACAAGAAGCAAGGAAGCTGAAAAAAGAGTCAGTCACTTCTGTTGAGAGGCAGCTACAGTGTTCGATCCTGAGCTTAGGTTTCTGGCTGTTTGGAGTTTTGCTTGCTCTCCCTGTGTCTGTGTGGGTTTCCTCTGGGTTCACTGGTTTCCTCCCACAATTCAATTCTATTCATATAGTGGTTTTAACAATGTACATTGTCACAAAGCAGCTTCACAGATATCCACATATGGATTTAGATTTGTCCCGTATTCTTCCCACCTCACCTCCTGTGTTCCCTTGACTCCGGATCCACCACGAGCCCGACCAGGATAAAGCGCTTACTGAAGATGAACAAATGAGTGTGTGTAAATAAACACAAATAACAGGTGTGTGTGTGTCACAGCATTTAAGACATCACTCCAACACTAACGATTCTATAAACACACACACACAATGTGCAAAAGTAGGATAAATTCCATACTGGAACATTTCTGACTCCCCAAGTTAAACACCTTTATTTCCACTGACGGATAAAACAGCCTTCTTGTGGCTTTCTGAAAGCTTCATGAAGCTTACTCTGTCTCTCTCTCTTTCTCTCTCTCTCTCTCTCTCACACACACACACACCTGACCCACCGTAATGGAATCCTAACCTGGTTTTTCTAAAAGCTAGCTAACGTTTTTCAGCACACAGCTGTATGTGTGTGTTCTCGTGGACGGCACCTGTGAGATACAGCACAACGACAGGAAGCACTTCACATTGCTACCCTTTGCCTGTGGTGTGTGTGTGTGTTTTTTTTTTTGCGAGGATGTGATGCGATCTCACTTACAAAGAGCTGTCTCCGTCGACGCACACCCTTCTCTAGTGCCAGTTTAGCACATTTTCAGCATTTTTATCCTAAGAATTTTGGTGGATATGACCGCGTTAAGCTGTCGGTGCCTTCAATGAAATCAGAGGCCTTCGATTGGAAACTGCGCTGTAACAGGTAAGAGTCGAATGAAGATGAAAGTTAAGGGTTGATGAGAAAATAGAAAGGAGAAAAGCTGAATTATGATCTGAATCTATCACTATGGATGAAAAAAATGACAAAACTATGGATTTTGTAGCACTTTATCATAAACGAACCCTGAAAAACTAGACACTCTCAGCCATGCTGCTTTCTGAAAGCAATAATCTACATGCATTGTGTAGTATATAAGAGCATATGTCCTAGTATACAGCTTATATAGCTGATTATACACATGTGAAATGAATAAAGCATAAAAACTTAAAATAAAAATAAAAAATGTTGATGTCTAGGTATTAATCTATTTTTCTTTTTTTTAACCTCTTTTAAACATCGAAATATGAGAAGATTAATCTAATATTACAGAATAAAATGGTACTAGTCAGCTTCATTTTTGCTTCCCAAAAGTACAGATAATGTAAACATACTCTTAAACATCCACTAATGGCTTTAAAAGAACAATTATGCACTTAAATGATGTCCGTCTACATTTTAAAACCTCTAACTAAAGGTATAAAAGATGTATCCTTGAGGTCACACTCTAGTGACAAGCGTTAATACCTAAAACCTCTAGTTTAGTACTATTTAAAGTTTTTTTTTTCAGTTTAATACTTTTGTAAGTGTAAAGAGTTCAAGTGTAGAAGCATGGTTACTTGGAGTTGAGGATGCTCAGATATTGTTTTCAATGCCCCACCCTAACTCGTAATGTTAGTATAGAACTCAGGAGACGCGGCCAACTTGTGTTTAAAATTGTAAAATATCTACATTTTTTTGTCACACAATCTGTACATCTTCATCACTGTTACTGCAAATGTAGGAAATAGTAAAGATTCAACAAAACCTGCACAGTAGTAAACAGTGTATGTGTATGAATTCTCCTGCATCCTGAAATATAATAATGCATTTAAATTTCTTCTTCCTATCTATATTCACTAGCGCCTGGTTACTATGGGAACTAATCAACGTCTTTAAACATGAATTACATAATTAGTTATCCTCA